AATTGGTTCGAGGTCAGTAATCACAACCAGACTTAATACATACGGTGCACCGGATTATAAGGAGCACTGTCAATTTTTGAGAAAATTTAACGATTTTAAATGTGCCCTATCGTCAGAAAAATACAGTACTGCACATCACGTCAGGTTTGTGAAGTTGTAGTGTATTGTTTTGTATCATGTTTTTGTATATTTATTAGTGGTGTGCATTGCCATGAATCTGATGATACATATCAAGAGTTGTCTGTCACGATCCAGTATATCACAATATATCACGATATTAAAACAAAGGACCTTATATTGTGATTTATCATTAATTATGTATGATATATTGATTATGTACACCTTCACAAAAACAAAACTGGATGAAAATCATGAAAATAGTAAATGGAACTTATGAATTTTCAGAAAAAACATGAGTTAAAAAAAACTATTCAGGCTCATTTTGAATCGTTATGGAACTTGCCCAATTAAGTTATATATAAGTATATATATATATATATATATATATATATATATATATATATATATATATATATATATATATATATATATATATATATATATATATATGTATGTTTTTCTTACACCCCTGATATTTATGGAGAATTGTTGTATGGGAGCATGGAGAGGTAAGCTTTTGGGCGGAGCCTTGTGCAGAATCATACTGCCAACCATTTGAATAGGGCCCAGGAGAGATGGCAAGAAAAACACCCCGGGCATGTTTCTGATGAAGGAACAACATTATAACACAGTAGAAAGCTCCAAAATGTTAAGTGCCCACTCTTTAAGCACAACTTTGGAAGAGGTAGCAGTCGAGTATTCATCCGTAGACTCTACTCATGCACTCAATGTACATTACTTATATTTGTGTAAATGTTTTCTCACTGTGGTCACTGAAAATTTTGAAAACTGTGCCAAATGCCCAATTTAAACATACAAAGTGGATGCATTTTGACAGTTAAAAGGACTTGAACTAAGAAGTGACCCTCTACAAATGAGCTTCTCCTGTCCCAAACTAAATATAGTACGGTAAGTTTCTCTTTTCCAATGACTTCAAATGCACCTTGATGTTATGCTTTGGTCTTCATAATTCACCTTAATGTTATATTAAAACCACAGACCTTAGTGCAGGCAGGACTGTTTCACCGGAGGCTGCTTACGCTCCATTGAAATCCCTGTGTGTTTTTCTGCTGTGGGAATATATAGAGTCCAGAAAGTCCTTACACAGCGGAGGTGAGCTGAACGCATCTGTAATAATTCTGTCAGAAAGACGGAGAAAACGAACCAAGAAAACACTTTATGGTCCAATACTCCATTTGAGTTTATTCCCTCTTCTCACCGCGCACAGGAAATCCTTTTATGGAACAGTAGCTTTGAGTAAAATACAACAAGGGGCCAATAAATAAGATTAAACTCCATTCACACGCATACAAAGTACACTGTGAAAAAACAAAAAAAAAAAACAAAGAAAGAAATATTAATATTACTTTGTTTAGTAAAGTTGTTTGAATTTCTATATTTAATAATATATATTTGTTCCAGCTAAACTGTGGAGTACATTGCAAAGCTTAATATCTTGGTAAGTTTAAATTACTTGAATTTATTGAATTTTATTAATTCAGTCTTTTGAGTAAATACATGCATCATGAATTTCGGACTCCCGGTCATCGCGCAATGCATACTGGGAAGGATTTTCTCAAAAAGTGAGCACTAAACCACCATGTTTGTTTTCTCAATGGGATGCGTCTATTGACCAAGCCTTTTCTAGTGTTTTGAACCATATCACTTTTGTTTCTGGTTCTGATATTGTCATATTTTAGTTTTGGGATTCAGACATCGTAATTGTGTGGTTGTTGGATCCTAACAGTGGAAAACAGCTCGACAAATTTGTTCATAACTGCAAAAGGGAATCAGATGTGTGTGACTGCAAACCTCCATTCAAACTGTTTCCCTTCCCAACGGAATGTAAAAATAGTGAAAGGTGAAAGTGATGGGCAGTATTGATACACAAGAAGGACCAAAAAGGAAACCTATGACTGCCTAAGAAATCATCCCAAATTTGCAGCAAACATTTTGTACGTGGAGCTCCATCAAGCAAAACCCCGATCCCTCGCTGAACCTTGGTTATGAATTTAAAAAGTCAATGCCAAAGTGAAAGGCACCAGCTGTTCTCCAAGAAACACCTTCCACAGCAAAGTGACCAAGATGTGATGTCGCTGTAAAACCACAAGAACAAGAAAGTGCGAGCTCAGCCTGTTTGTCTTCTGTACTTCTCACTTAACAAATGGGCTCCCGCTTTGTTGGTGCTCCACATACAAAATGTTCACCGCAAACTCGGGATGATTTCTTAGGCAGTCAAAGTTTTCCTTTTTCATCCTTCCTGTGGATCAATACTGCCCATCGCTTTCACCTTTCACTATTTTTCAATTCCGTTGGGAAGGGAAACAGTTTGAACAGAGGTTTGCAGTCACATAGATGTGATTCCCTTTTACATTTATGGAGTTTGCAAACTTCCGAAGCCCATTTCTCGAGCCCTTTTCTGTTGTTGGGACATCCAACCGCACAGTTACGATGCCTGAATCCTAAAACTAAAATATGACAATATCAGAACCAGAAACAAAATTGAAATGGTTCAAAAGACTAGAAAAGATTGACTTTGTCACTAGACACTTTTTCGGAAAATTCCCAGTATTCATTGCGCAATGATCGGAAGTCCGAAATTTGTGATGTGTGTATTGGACTCATGTAAAAATGTCTGCCAATGGAATATGTTTGTGTATTATGTGTTCCTATTCCATGCTAAATAATAGAGCACAGAAAATAGTCTTATTAATGTAAGTAATTTCAACTTAACAAGATACAATATTTTGCCGCATACAAAAGATAAACATCAAAGTTTCTCACTCCACTTTAATTTTGCTTAGATGTGATAATTAAAATACACCGAAACTTAATTCAACTACTCAAATTCTAAATTCAAGTTTAAAGCTGCAGTATGTCACTTTCTGGAAGTAGCACATCAACTGGATGATTCCATGGAAATAAAAAGATAAAACCATATTTGGAACATTCTCCATGAAGATAAATATGTATTGTGCCGTACTGTGGAAGATTATATCTAAGGGAAAAAACATTTCCATGGAAACAAGCAGAAAGAACTACAAGAACAAAATTAAAGTTTTTCAGTGCAATTAACACAACAATTCTAGTTTTGGCTAAAAAGTGACAAACTATGACTTTAACTAACATAGATTTTCTTTTTCTTTTTTAACAGTGTATCCATTTACGCACGCACAAACACACACACACACATGTACACACACACTGTAAAAACATTCATGTACATCCCTATAGCAGCAATATAAACAGGACAATTGATGGCGTTTTAACATTACGTATACACATATTGTCCAATGGCTCCAACGTAGTTCAACCAAGTCTGTGTGTAAAATACAAAATGGCGTCTTCTTTGTCTCAATTTCTCAAGTCCAAGAAGATTAATAACACTGTTTACTTTTCACTGGCCTCATTGAAAGAAAAATCATATTTACGTTACCAGCAGCATGTATGAAGCCACCTTATATGTCTTTTACTGGAGAATACTGGCAATCCAACATGTAGCAGTATATAGTCTGGAGGCTCGTCCACCTGCTTGTTTTTATGGATATGCCATTGCTTTGTCTGGAATGTTCCACTACGGAAGCCGAGAGGGGTCACAACAACACGCCGCAACAAATACAAATGCGACAACACAACAAAAAGTCACAACACACCAAAAAAAGCCACAACAGAGATGACCGTGGGACTCTATTTTAATGCAAACGCCACATCAAATACAAACGCCACAACACAAACGCAAATGCCGCAACACATTAAAAAGCCACAACACATCAAAAAGCCACAACGGAAGTGACTGTGAGTTTCAGACGAACCGATCAAGCGGCAAGTGAAGAAGAAGAACTACAGCGTGAAAAGTAAAGGAACGGAGAAGTTGGAAACGTAAGTAAAAGTAATTTATTGTTTTATCATTATTCGTTTCACGTTGTAGTTCTTCTTCTTCAGTTGCCGCTTGATCGGTCCATCGGAAAATAGAGTCACGCGGTCACTTCCGTTGTGGCTTTTTGATGTGTTGTGGCTTTTTGATGTGTTGTGGCATTTGCGTTTGTGTTGTGGCATTTGTATTTGTTGTGGCATTTGCATTAAAATAGAGTCCCGCTGTCACTTCCGTTGTGGCTTTTTGATGTGTTGTGGCTTTTTGATGTGTTGTGACTTTTTAATGTGTTGTGGCTTTTTAATGTGTTGCGGCATTTGCGTTTGTGTTGTGGCGTTTGTATTTGTTGCGGCGTTTGCATTAAAATAGACTCCCAGTGGTGTGTTGGTGGTTGGTGTGTTGTGGCTTTTTTTGGTTTGTTGTGGCTTTTTGTTGTGTTGTCACATTTGTATTTGTTGCGGCGTTTGCATTTGTTGTGACCCCTCTCGGCTTCCTTATTCCACAGTATGACATTAAAGAGCTCTTCCTTACATTCTTTCAATTACAGGTGGCTTTATAGCTCAAATAAAACTAGAAAAACTTGGTCTGGTTTGGTCTCCATGAAGATACAAAGGTTTAATACCATACTGTGAAACATTCCAGACAAAGTAATAACATCTCCATGGAGAAAAGCATTTGGCAGACCCTCCACCAGAAAAGTTACAAAACGCACCTTTATGTTGAGTACAAAAATACAAAATATTGCTGTTTTTATTATCTCGGTACAAACATTTGTTCTTTGCATTTGACTCAATGCTGTTTGGGTGATCTGTCAGGATTGACCAACTGTGCATGTTCTCAGTTGATTATGCTGAAAACCGCAGCATAGGAAGAACATGCAAACTTGACACAGAAATTCACCTCAAAGTCTGGGAATCGAATCTGAAATTCTCTCGTGAATTCTGATCTCTTTTCCATCCAAAAGAGTGTTAAATTCTTCTTAGAAAACCAGTGCATTTTGTTTATTTTTTCAGTATTCCTTTGCTTCTTGCAGTTCAGTCTGGAACACCTCTTCATTGGGGTTTGGGGCACACTCTAGTCCATTATTAGGAGGTCTCACCAAATGAAACCTGCTCCAATCTCCTTTGCACAAATCCACGGTAGAACATCGACTTTATAATGCAACTCTGGCGAAAACTCTGTGCTTATCAAATTCGGTGACCCCGCCCCTTTGCCTCTCGTAATTAACCTCATTTGGTCGTCATAGCAGCAGTGTTGGGCCGCGAGCGTGGTGCTGTCGTAAGAAAGCATCGAGCGAATACAGAATCTGGCTGAAGCTTTGTAGATGTCCAGACGCTCTTTGGGGCCGCTGGCGTCTCTCCATCGGTATGTTTTTCGTAGTTTGGGGTCCTGGATGTTGACGGCGCTGTACACGGCCTCGGAGGGGTAGGAGCAGGGGCAGCTGGGTAATTCGGTGAGGACTTGGTGGAGGTATTTCTGGAGGAAGTCGTTCTTGCAGCTCAGCCACTTCTCACAGCTGTCAACATCTGGAAGAGGAATGGAAAGGAAAGGTTTTACTACAAAAATGGGAATATCTTTGGTAGCTGAAATTATTTGAAAAAGGGATCATGATTTTCATAAGTGTAAATTTAACCACAATAAATATTTCATTGTACAAAATGAATCTACCCTACATACACTGTAAAAAATGAATGTGCTAAAAGTTGAAAGGACCTGAACTGACCTGAATTTATGTTGTTTTGAATAGTTTTTAGTTTAGATTTACACTCAAATTTAAATTCAAAAGTTTGGACTCACCCTCTCATTCAGTGTGTTTTTCTATATGTTTACTAATTATTATATATATATATATATATATATATATATATATATATATATATATATATATATATATATATATATATATATATATATATAATATATATATATATATATATATATATATAAAATATGAAGTATGATGTATGGAATTATGTAGCAAAGAAGAAAGACTTAAATTTTTAAAGATCAAATCCTCAAAGTAGCCACACTTTGCCTTGTCAACAAAACTATTATTTCACTTTTTTTCTTTACTACACAATTCCATGTATAAACCCGAGGCACTTCAAATGAATATATTATAAGTCCTTTATTTCATGAAGGGACGCCACACTTTGCCCTGATGAAGACCATCTTGCTGGTCGAAACACGTTGGTGTCCCTTCATTAAATAAAGGACTTTTAATATATTCAGTTGGAGTGCCTTGGGTTTGTACTTTGCCCACTTTTACATTTTCCAGTAAGGGTAACTTTCTGTTTAAAGACTACTGTTTTAACATTCATAGAGCACATGTACTGCTATTTTTTACTCTTTTATGACCCAGTGAAGCGCTCTACCTCTTTTTCTTCATCTGACAATTCCATATATCTTGCTTCATATATTTGATATCTCTGTGTGTATCTAAATTGTAGAAAGTAGTAAGAAAAAAGAAAAAATATATATTGAATGAGAGCATGAGTTCAAACTTTTGACTGTACCTCTGTTGTCTGAGTGTTGATGTTCTGGCATTAATGAAAGAAACATTCTAAAAAATAATGATGGTGGTCCATCACCTTCTTGTTTCTATGGATATGTCATTGCTCTGCCTGGAATGTTCCACAGTATGACTTTAAACAGCTCTGCTTACATTTATTCAATTACAGGTGGTTTTATAGCTCAAAAATACCTAGAAAAACAGGCATTCTGACTGTGAGCGGGGTCGCCTCTCCACAGATCTGACCTGTAACTTGGTCTGGTTTAGTGTTCATGATGATAAAACGGTTTAAAGTCACACTGGAAAATATTCTAGACAAAGCAATAACATCTCCATGGAGAAAAGTATTTGATGGACCTTCCACCAGAAGTTACACAATGCACCTTTAAATCAGCATCGTTTTTACTTTTTTCTGTGTAATAGTTTAAATTTATGTTTTCAAGTTGTTGTGTTCTTATTTGCTTATTTATGTCCAAATATGTATATTTTTAATCACATAAAAATTGCTAGAAATACCGTCCTTCATTAGCAGATTGTTAAGATTGAATAAATGAAGGTGCACTGTGTAACTTTTTGGTGGAAGGTCCATCAAATACTTTTTTTATGGAGATGTTATTGCTTTGTCTGGAATGTTTCCCAGTGTGGCTTTAGACCTTTCTATCTTCATGGAGACAAAACCAGACCAATTTACAGCTCAGATCTTTGGCGAGGCGACTCTGCTCACAGTCAAAATGCATATTTTTATAGGCATTTTTTGAGCAATAAAACCACCCCTCAAGAAAAAAAGTTACATAGTGTGCCTTTAAATCAACGTTTAAATTCTAGAATTCATGTACTTTTGACTTTTTTCAGTGTAATACTTTCAAATTACATTTCTAAGTTGTTCTGACTATGCAGGATTTCTGATTTCTCATTTGCTTATTTTTGTCCAAATGTATATATTTTAATCATATAAAAGCTGTCAGCAAGAGCTAGAAATATTGTCCTTAATTGTCAGATTGTTGAAATAAAGTAAACTACCAGACATATTAAGAAAGTGATTGAGAGTCAGCTAATTTTATGTATTTTAGATTGTGCACATTGTCTTTTTTACTGCACAGAAAGCAGATTCCAGCGTGTCTCTAAGGAGGGGCAGTTGGCCTTGGATAAATGAAGTCCAGCAGCGCTTTTCCTATAGAGCACTGTAAAAAATGCACCTTGTATTTAGTTCATTCTCTCCTCTCGTGCTTTATTATGTTCTGGGGCTGGTGTGTAGAGTCAGGAGAGTGATAAAGAAAAGGCCGTTCAAACATGTCTCAGGCTCAGCTGGAGTTTTATCGATTCTCCGGCGGCCATCTTGGGAAGGGAAAGTTCTCAATATCAAAAACAGGCCGCTGTACAAAGATTTATTTCCATATTAAACGAATTATAAAGAGCCCGTAGTGCACAATGTGTGAATATAATTTTTTCCATGTCCAGATCTGTCAACGGTGAATAAGGATAACAGGATACATACTTAGCACTGGAGTTTTCAAGTCTCCGGATTTTACTGTCTTAAAAATGTAAAAAACAGAACTGGTCCACTGTAAACAGTTTCCAGTGGTCCAAAGTTATCCCTCCCTTACCTGTGCATTACAAACATTCTAATTATTCAGTGTGAGTGCTTTTCCCTATTCTGATTCATCAGCCAGTTTCACTTTATGGAAAGCGTCTGACCTCGCAGTGTTTAGAATTCATTCGCTCGACAGTAGGCAGGTACTTTTTTTATGTAATCAATCGCTGCTGTTTGGTCATGACATGTGTAATCCTCCAGAACACCCCATGGTTTCCAAGTAATCACTGGCAAAACAGCAGCAAACAAAGCAGAGAATGAACATGTCTGTCAATGATCACTGTCGTTTCTGCGAGGGGAACTTGCAAATTAAAGGTGCAATAAAAAAGGCGAAGTTTGTATTTGACAAAAGAAGTCCTAAGGAGGATAGCGTATGCATCTAGTGTATTCTGATTCCTGACCTAGTCTCTGGAGAGAAATGAAATTGAGTGGAGGCACTAGGTGGCACCAGCCTGGCTAGTTTTTCCCAACTTTCAGAGATGAATGCAGAGTTTTGCCATGATGGTAAAGCTGACAACAACTAGCATGCAGACATGCAGTTCCTGATTATCAGACATTAAAATGTTTTGTGTATCATTAGACACAGACAGCACAGACAAGACAAGTTTTCCTCAAATACTGTATACGGGAAAAATGGGGTAAACAAACTTTAAAAGTGCCCGGTGAACATTTCTGGTGGAGGGTGCGCTACCTGCTTGTCTCCATGGAGATGTTATTGCTTTGCCTGGAATGTTCCATGGTATGACTTTAAACATTTCCATCTAGTATTTATTCATTACAGGTGTGTCTGCTCAAAAATACAGTCACTCCTTCTGTGCATGGGGTGACTCTCCACAGATCTGAATTGTAAAGTAGTGTAGTGCTGTAAACCTGTCTGTCTCCCTTCTGATAGATAGGTTTCTATATTGTGGAACATTCTAGACAAACCAATAACATTTCCATGGAGACAAGAAGCTGGTGGCGGACCCTTCACTGGAAATGTTAAGCCGTTCACTTTTAAGTATGTTGCAAATTTCAGAAGCCAAATCTTTTGATCAAGATAAAAAAAAGATAAAAAAAGAAAGAATCCTATATAGCTGTTTCATAAACCAGTCTGTGTTTTAATGATACAGAAATCACCCGTCCATAATTCATACGTACTTGTGTCCAGAAACTCTGTGCTGTTGGTCGGATGGAGTGGAGTTGTGTCGGTCACTGGCATCACAGTGACTGTAGAGAGAAAGAAATCATGGATCAACTCAAGTCTTAAACATGTTATTATACAGTATATTGTACATCTCACTGATAATTTGTTTAATAAAAGACTTTTAAAAGTATCTCCTCTCACCTGTACAGCTGCGGAACTCACAGGTCCTGGACTCTGTGGCGACACAAGCGTAACCACACGACCTCGTCCTCTTCTGAGAGCCCTGTCCACAGCTCACACTGCAGGGGGCCCACTCACTCCACTCCTCCTCATACTCTGGAAACACATGTAGGCCTGCTTTAGTCCTGGTTTAGACCTGGTTTAGACCTGGTTTAGACCTGGTTTAGACCTTGTTTAGACCTAGTATAGAACTGCTTTTGTCCTGCTTTAGTCCTGCTTTAGTTCTGCTTTAGTCCTGGTTTAGTCCTGATTTTGACTTGGTTATGTTAAGTCCTGTTTAAAATGTGGATAAATCCTGCATGGTGGAGTCTAATTCCTGGTAAAACCTGGTTTAGTCATGGTTGACTCAGGCTGCAATCACACATTAACCCTCACCACATGAAAAACCCAGACTAACTTGGGACTGAACTGAACTAGGACAATTAAACTGGAATTGAAACTAGACAAAGGTCAGAACCATCTTAGTCAGACCTGGTCTGAGTTTTGTCCCACTTTAATCTTAAAACCTGGATTAGTTGAGGAGTATCTATGGTATGTGGGTAGGCTCTAGTCACACCTCTCCTCCTCATTCCTTAAAAACAGAAGTACATTTTCAGCAGTCCTGGTTTAGTCCTATTTTAGTCCTGATATAAACCCTTATTTAATCCTGCTTTAGTCCTGGTTTAGATTTCTTTGACTCAGTTCTTTTAAGTCTTAAGGAGTCACAGCTCACACAGGTTTCTAGATCTGGTTTAGATCTTGTTTAGTCTTCTTCTGGGTAAGGACCCTAGTCACTTCCTGGTTTAGTCCTGTTTTAGTGCTGGTTTAGATTTCCTTTAGACTTTAGTTATGTGAAGTCCTGAGGGGGCACAGCTCACAGGGGGAGGTAAACATAACTCTGGAGACATGTATTAGAGACACTTTGAAGTGAGAGCGCTGGATTCCTGTCCCAGCTGGTGAAGCCGTGATGCAATAAAGGACAGAACAGTACGGGACCACAGCCTGTGTTTAAACATTATATTATTTGGACATCTATGTGGAGCTGGTCATAATTTATAACATGTGTGAATGTAAGGAAATGTGTTATATAAAAGGTCATATATTACTCTGAAGTGACTGTTGTGAGCTTATAGTCATGTTATAATGTTGTTACCTCCTCAAAAACAAACCTGGACTTGTGTTTTGTTTCATTCAAACATTTGAGTAATCCTTTATTTTTAGTCTGTCTACATCTCCAAAGCTCAAAATGCTCTGTCCCACCTTGTGATGTCATGAAGCAGTAGTTTTTAAGTTACAGCTACCTTCTGCCTTTTGTTTATTTAGTATATTGCAATAGTGTGCGTTGACTTTTATGAGTAGGTAAGCAGACTTGGGATGCATATCAATTTCATAACTACATTTTTTATGCAGTCTACATTGCAAATTAGTGTATTTATTTTACTCACATTAATTGCATGTATATGGAGGCTTTCTGGAGTTAAAATAGACAAATATTTTAGTAATACTTGTATACCGTATTTTTCAGACTATAAGGCGCACTTAAAATCCTTTAATTTTCTCAAAAATTGACAGTGCGTCTTAAATTTTGGTGTGCCTTATCTATTAATTCTGGTTGTGCTTACTGACCTTGAACCAATTTTATGTGGTACACAGCGCTCAAAAATTTGTCAAACTTTTTTAGTACAACTTTGGTGAGCTATGAAGCCACACTACTTGATGGATTATCTGAGCATTACAGCTACTGTGGTCGGGAGCCTCACGGAGTCTGACAGAAGCTGATGCATCAGGACACAAAGAGTGAGCAGTTTTTTCAGTGCTTATAGTTTATGCATGCCATGTGGTTTTAAGTTTTATTTCTGTAAAATGTAAACAAATGTGCTCAAACTTGCATTAAACTCATTATTACTCAATCTATATTTGAGTACTCCTCGTAGGACATAAAAAAAATAAAATAAAAAAATTAGCAAGCCACATTCACATTCATAATACTTATTCACCAAGACAGGGAGGTAACGTCGGGTGAATTACACCACGATCTGCCAATGGATCGTGCATGCCTGCGCTAATGTCTCAGTCTCAAGTGTCGTCCGTTTGTTTCTCTTAATGCGCCTTATGTATGAAAATAGATGAGAGAATTCAACATTATTAATACTGCACCTTATAATCTGAAAAAGTGTTGGACTGCATTTGACACCCTCTTCATACAAATAGGGCTATTTGTTTCTACTTCTACACTTATTTATCCAGATGAGCCTTCAATATTTCATCTATGTAATTATTATTATTATTATTATTATTATTATTATTATGCACCTAGAAACCATGAAATATGACATATGTCTCTATATTGTCATTTCCAGGATTGAACTCATCCAAATGATTCTAATGATGAGTTGTATGGATTTAAAAACACAGTGGAGCACTTTCTGTATTACCCCATGACATCACAAGGTGGAACAGAGTGTTTTCCACTTGAGATAATAACTCAGCCTAAATAAGCAGAATATGTGTGTTAAACTAGTGTGAATGAAACAAAACACAAGTCCAGACATGTTTGTGATGAGGAACATTAGAACATGAAATCAGAAAATATTGCGTAATAATGTCCCTTTAACTTATTACTTTAATGTTGTGGAGGCTGGTTCACTTTCACAGAGAACACCTGGATTAGTATAGTCCAGGGGTCTCCAACCTGTAGCTTGCGAGTTACCAGTAGGTTTCCACGCCCTTCCAAGTAGCTCACCAAAGGATTTCTGAATTATATTTAGTGCACTGATTAACTCAAAGTTTACTGATTAAATGCCTATTTCCTTTGTAAATGTATCATTTTGATGCCTAATTTTGTGCACTGATTGTAGGATAATGGGTTATGTTTTATAGACATCTATACCTCATCTTCGGCTTATCATGGAGTTTACATTTGGGTCCAGTCAAGTGGTAACGGAGGGAAACAGGGGCAGATCTTTTACATTCAAATAGCTCTTATTCAGAAATTAGAGGCACTATTGAAATAAGTAAGGTATAAGAATTAAGTTAACACTCCAACAGGGTAAAGTTAACCCTGCAATATTCTTTCAAGTTGTTGACAAAATTTTTTTTTAAACTCATGTCGGTAACAGAGGGAATGAAATATACAGAACTTTTTGGGCAATAAATACAAACAGCTATAACTACTGGTTCTTACATATCCTGAACAAACTGGCTTGAATATTTGCTTCATATAGTTTTCTACCATATGGTACAAGATTAGGTTGAAAAACCTCTTACTTTTTGAGTAATAAGATTTTTTATTAAGAAAGGTCATGGTAACGGAGGGAAAAGTAACGGAGGGAAAATTGTGCAAACAAGTAGAAGGTGCAGGATTTTACATAATTTGTCGCTTTTTTCTTCCAAATACTTTAATATTACTTCAAAATGTAATGAGTTTTGAGCATGTTTAAATTGCTACTTAATACAGATATTAACAGCATGGTACTAAGGGACAAACGCTGGCACTGAAATGATCCAACTGAGTAAAAAGAAAGTGTATAAATTCCCAAATCATAGTGAACGTTTTCGATTAAAGAGTAGAAACCAATCAATTATTTTTTGTCTTTTCATACTTCACCAAATGTATTAAACCTGCACAAATTAAACTAAAGCCTTTGTTATTTAAGCATAGTTCAAGATGGGCAATAATGGCACCTTCAAGGCATTCACACCCATTCACACACACATTCATGCACCAGTTTACGCAGACACTGGGGTCGAGTTGGGTTAAGCGTCTTGCCCAAGGACACGACGACAGCATTCATCCGTGGGAGCTGCAACCGCAAACCTTCGGAACATTGGACAAACGCTCGCACCAACTGAGCTCCTGTCGCCTCACTGGAATAAAATGTGTTTACATAAGACACTAGGGGCAAGGGGGGTTGAGTGTCTTGCCCAAGGACACAGCAAGTATTTATCTGTGGGAGTTGGAATCACACTGCCAACCTGTGGGTCAGATCAGAGGACAAATACGCTTCCAACTGAGCTACTATCGCCCCGTACATAAGCTTTAAACTTCAGGAGAGGGGAGAGACAGAGGGCCGAGAAGGAGCGAAGGAAGAGAAGGAGAGAAGAGAGGAAGCAGGGATGAAGGCCGGAGGAGGAGTGAGCCAGCGGGAGAGAAAGTGCACGTGCAGTGAGAGTGCTGACGGCTGGACGCAGAGCTCAGGGTCTCACTCGAGAGGAGACAAACCAAAGCTCTGAGCCAAGGTTTAATCAACAGCTCCGACTCATGTCAAGGACTCCACACATGCACCCTCAATATGAGACCAGAGCCGTAAAAGACAAAATACACGAGGAAGGAGGGAAAAGGAGTTTAAAAAGGAGAGATTTGGGGCAACACGTTTTCATTAAAGGTCCTGTATTATGTAAAATGATTCATACAATTTGTTGATGAAGTCATCAGGAAGAGCAAAGAAAGCGTCTTACATTCCTCCCAGAGTTCATCAAGATTCTTTGGTTTTGCCTCCATGCTTCCTCTTTCATTCTACCCCAGACATGCTCAATGATGTTCATGTCTGGTGACTGGGCTGGCCAGTCCTGGAGCACCTTGATCTTCTTCACCTTGAGAAACTTTGATGTAGAGATAGAAGTATGTGATGGAGCACCATCCTGCTGCAAAATTGGACCCCTTTTATGGTTGGGAATGTAAGAGGAGCTAATACTTCTTGATATTTTAGGCTATTGATATTGCCTTCCACCCTGCAAAAGTCTCGCACACTCCCATACTGGATGGAACCCCAGACCAGGATTTTTTCCTCCACAAAACTTAACTGTTTTCTGGGTGAATCTTGGATCCATGCGGGCTCCAGTTGGTCTCCTGCAATATTTGCGGTGGCTGTGATGTAATTCAACTGAGGATTCATCTGAGAAATCCACCTTCTGCCACTTTTCCAGTGTCCATCCTTTTATCAGGCTGTGGCCTTTGGCAAATGCCACACATTTTTAATTGCCTTTTGTTTAGTGCTGGTTTCTGTGCACTGATTCGACCATGGAGGTCATTTCGAGACAGAATTCTACAAACTGTTGTGGTTGACACAGGGACTTGAGGTGACCAGGCCTGGTGGAGTCTGCTGCAGTGGAAAAGG